ATACATCCATGTTTCCTCTAGAATATCTAGTACATACTTCCTCTGAGAAATAACAATACCAGATTTAGACTGAGTGACTTCTATGCCAAGAAAGTATCTGAGTACCCTAAGTCTTTCATCTGAAAGTGTTTGAACAAGTGTTGCTTCAACTGTCCAATGCCATCTTGATCACTTCCTATAATAACAATATCATCGACATAGACAACCAGATAGATACACTGCCCTGATGATGTATGTCTATAGAAACAGAGTGATCAGACTCACTCGATCATACCAACTCTTGGATAACTGTGCTAAATCGTCCAACCAAGCACGAGGAGACTGTTTAGACCATATAGAGAACGACGAAGTTTACATACCAAACCAGACTCCCCCTGAGCAACAAAACCAGGAGGTTGCTCCATATAAATATCTTCCTAAGTTCACCATAAGAAAAGAATTCTTAATATCCATTGATGCATAGGCCAGTTTTGAATGGCAGCCATACAAAGAACAACCGACGGAAGACATCTTAGCAACAGGAGAAAAAGTGTCAAAATAATTTGTCCCATAGATCTGAGTGTATCCCTTGGCCACTAAACGGGCTTCAGCCGATCAACCTTACCATCTGGACCAACCTTTATAGTGTAAATCCATCGACAACCAAAATGTAACATCAGCAGAGATGAAGAATGTAACATCAGCAGAGATGAAGTAGCGATGTGTGGTGGAAATAACACTTGTAGCCCTTCTGAAGACGTGAATACCCTAAGAAAATACATTTCGTAGACTTGGCTGACAGTTTTCCTGGCCAGGAGGGAAAATGTGAACCAAACAGGTGCTCCCAAAACACGCGGGGGAAGAGAAAATAAGGAGTATCAGGGAATATATGGAGTGTGGAACCTGGTCTTGTAAGACAGAAGAAGGCATGCGATTTATTAGTAACAGCTGTTAGAACCACGTCAGCCCAAAACCGGAAAGACGTGGCTATGTAAAAGAGTGCGAGCAGTTTCAATGAGGTGTCTTATTTACGCTCAGCAATGCCATTCTGTTGGGGACATAAACACAAAAGACTGATGAAGAATTCCCTGAGATGTCATGAATTTAGTAAAGGAATCAGAGAAATTTTCACGAGCATATCACTTCGTAATATACGAATGGTAGTATTATGTTGAGTCTTTTTCAGCACAAATGATGAAAATATGGAAAATAATTCAGAACGAGAGCGCATAAGAAATAACCAAGTGCAACGGGAATAGTCATCAATAAATGTAACAAAATATTTAATCCCAAAGTAGAGTTAACACGACAAAGACCCCACACATCTGAATGCACTAACTCAAAGGGGGGCGAGCCCTTTATTGACATGCTTTGGAAAAGAACTTGAGTATGCTTTCCAAGCGACTGACTCACAACTCAAGGACGATAATTTAGATAGACCTGGATCATTTTCCGAAGTTTGGAAAGACTAGGATGGCCCAAACGATTATGAAGGAGATCCGGAGACTCGGAGACAATGCATTTGTAGATGGGATATGGAGATGATAGAGACCCTGTACTCACGTCCGTGCCAATCATCCGTCCCGTTCACGATCCTGTATAACACAGAGTCAGTCAAAACGATAGAGCAATTTAAGGAGCGGGTAGTTTACTACACGAGAATAAAATGGACATTTGGGAATATAAAGCACAGAGTCTAAGTGAAGGAGGGAGGGTTTTGCACATCCATAGCTTGAACACGGTTTAGACCCATTGGCTAAAGTAACAGGAGTAAAGATACAGTATTTGTAATTTGAGTAAGTAATGAGGGTTCCAGAAATATGATCCGAGGCACCTAAATCTAGGACCCAAGGTCCTAAAACGGAAAACTGAGAAAGGCAAGCAACTGAATACCCGTTTGAGCGACGGAGGCAATGGATAGAAGACACGCTTACTGGCCTGATACTGTAAGTATTCATCATAATCAGTACCTGTAGAGTTAAGGAGGGCTGAGCTAGCACTGTAGAGGACTCAAAATGAAGATCAAAGTGATTAGCCTGAGCAATATTAGCAGCTCGGGTAGGTCGACCATGTAACTTAAACATTTCTCTCTGGTATGCCCCCACCGATGACAGTAACTACACTTGGCCGATTTCCTCTGCCACTTCGATCACCCTGTTCTCGAAAAGTTTGGGACTGAGAAACAAGGACTGAAGAGTCACCTGGGGAAGGTCAGTAGTAGGGGGGAAACCCGAGTAATCTGCAAACACTTCATCAGGGAAGGCACGGTGGATCCAGAAAGAATTTGATCTCGAACAGGTGTAAGATCTGGACTGAGAGCTGCAAGTGTCAAGACCATAAGAACTTGTCCCGTCGAGCCAAATCTTCTGCCGCAGATTTACCAGCTGGTACAGATGAAGATTGAATCTGTCTTAAGGGAAACCATCTTACAAAGGAAATCTGACATATTATATCCTGTTGTTTGAGATGAACTAGTTGGACACAACAGAATATAACGTTGAATGTCATTTGTGAAGAAGTTGCCTGACTCCAAATATCAACACAAGAACGGTAAGATTTATAAATAGGTGAAGAGGGGGATCAATAGTTTGCCATAACATACTACACAGCATAGCATCAATTTTAGTCCAGGAAGACTTATCTGACGTAATATCGAACGCTTTGGTGGTCAAGTGATCCTCCAGACCTTGACCCATACAGCATAATTTGACAGAGGCAGCCCATGATGAATAATTAGCAGTCCCAATTAATCGCTCAGTGGTGATGGGAGGGAGAGATACAAAAGAAAAACCACTTGGATTCGAAGGAGAGGCTGTTTTTTAAGAATCCATGAAGTCTTGAAACTGACAGAAACACAGAAACTTACGCTTGCCGGAAAAACTGAACAGAGGAGGGGCTGCTGGAAAAATGATCGGCTCGTTAGGGCGCGTGCAGCGGCGGCTGACGACGAAACCACTCGGGTTAGGACGACGAGGAGAAGACGATCAGTCCGGTGTGATTGGACCAGATTCTGATCGTTGCCGGAGAACATTCGCCAGAGAACAGTTGCCGAAAAAAAATCCGCGAAAGAGAGAAAATTTTTGAAATTTCAGATACCAAGCTCTGATACCATGTGGAGAAATATTTTTTCTTGTATTTCATAATGAGATGTACAATGAATTTATAGCAAAAACAAAAAACTAATCTAGGAAGTAATTTAGGAAGTAAATTGTTACATTCCTATTATAATTCTATTTCCTATATTACAATGAGAATAATTCTATTTCCTATATTACAAAGAGAATAATTCTATTTCCTATTTTACATTTCAACATTATTTATTTAAATAAAAAAGTAAAAGTTTGATAACCGATCATTATAGTCAGATATCGACTATCTTTCACATTGTTTACATCATCATTGACGTGTGGCCGAAAATTTTACCAATCTGTACATGTATGGATTGTTGACGAATGGTGTTATCACGCACTACGTTACTGATAATAATTCATTTTAATTTGTTTGAAGCCAACGTGTTGATGACATCGCCAGGTTTAGAGGTAATCAAATTCACAACTGGATTTGCATAGGTGTGTAAACCAGTCTCCGATACCACGAATGCATCGAAGAAGTATGTATCCCATTCCATGTATAGGCCATGAATGCATTGACGAAGTATTCCATGTATAGGCCATGAATGCATCGAAGAAGTATGTGTCACATGGAAAATGATAGAGTTACTGAAGGGTGTGCACCGAATTTGTATACCGAATGACGTGTCAAAATCCTAACCGTTGATTAATATTAACTAATAATTAATCAACGGTCAAAATTTTACCATGTCATTCGGTACACAAATTCAATACACACCCTTCGACAACTGTAGCATTACTCGTGTCACATTCCATGTATAGGCCGACACCAAATGATCAAGGACACATCAATTTTCTCACTGATGAAGATATGCGTTGGAAGGTGGCATCACCACACCAACATAGAAGTTGTCGTTAGTTGTATTGTCACCTATAACTATTATATATATATATAAGATTTTTGGAATTGAAAAGAAGCCAATAATATGCCAAAAATTGAAGGTGTCAGCAAATTTGTTTCAACCTATATCTTGTGCTAACGGCCTATCTGTCTACTCATAATNACTTGATAATAATTCATTTTAATTTGTTTGAAGCCAACGTGTTGATGACATCGCCAAGTTTAGAGGTAATCAAATTCACAACTGGATTTGCATAGGTGTGTAAACCAGTCTCTGATACCATGAATGCATCGAAGAAGTATGTATCCCATTCCATGTATAGGCCATGAATGCATCGAAGAAGTATGTGTCACATTCCATGTATCGGCCGACACTAAATGATCAAGGACACATCAATTTTCTCACTAATGAAGATATGCGTTGGAAGGTGACATCACCACACCAACATAGAAGTTGACGTTAGTTGTATTGTCACCTATAACTATTATATATCAATAATATTAGATGTACAAACAAATCTTACAAAGATTCGTGTACAAATTGATGTGTCATAAAATGAATGAAATAGTAAATATAAAAAGTCAAACTCCTCATATTCACTCTTCCATTTATTTTGTGTCATATTAGTTTGTACACAAATCCTTATAAAACTTATTTGTAGATGTAGCATTACTCGTTATATATGTATAAGATTTTTGGAATTGAAAAGAAGCCAATAATATGCCCAAAATTGAAGGTGCCAGCAAATTTGTTTCAACCTATATCTTGTGCTAACGGCCTATCTGTCTACTCATAATCCACCGAAGCTCTGTAATTAATTAATTAATTAAAATAATGCATGTATGTACATAATAAACCAGTCTAAAATAGATAAGCAGAATGGAATTTTTATGATTTTAAAGCAACATCAATACCAATTGAAACAAAAAATAGAAAAACCAAATATTTGTTTTTTGGCTTGAGCTTTACATGTGAAAACAGAGATAGGATGATGTAATCATTTACCGTTCAATGCAGAATTAAAGAGAAAACCCGCATGTAGGTTAAATTCCAGATTTCAATTACTTCTTCTTATTAAATATAATAAAAACTATACAACTAACAAATCAATTATAATACACATCGAAAAGCATAACCTGACCTGGCAGAACGCTCATCCAAAATATTCTAGAGCTAGACACGCCAACTACAGATATCTAGACGCATCCATTTTGATCAACTGTTAGAAAGATTAATGTAGATTAGACTATATATATAATATATAAAGTTATGTATCTGAATCAGAACTGCAGCTAAACCATATTTAGATCTGGATATCGTCTAATGAAAGTTCATGTGCGGTCAGCATCTTCACTTTCTGCAAATCAAAACAACGCAAGATTGTTAGGCAACGCATTTGGATGGTATAGGAAGAACTACGGGAGAAAGCAAATACCGCAATAAACTGAGGAGGATCATCGAGACTTGATGATCCCAGAATGACTTCCCTGTTCAACCTTGTTGATAGCTTGTGACATACCCTTAACTGCGGATGGAAAACATTTTGTACTATTAACAACGCCATAGTGGCCACCGTTATATACTCTATCTAGTTATGAATAAAAAGCTCTTCATACCTCTGATCTAGTAGCTCCACCAATGATAAATACAAAAATACGTTGACCCATCTTCTTTAAATCACCAGATGCATATCTTAGCACTGAATCACTGTATTACAGAAGAGAACGATACAAATCAAATTAACAATGAAAATAGCATAGAGATAAGCCTACAATTTAACTTTGAGGCCATTTACCAAAGCAGAGAAATTCTAATACATGCATAGGTAGATCGATGGATAATGTAAGCAATTTAAGATTAATGCATAAGTACACATTTTCTTTTTACAGCCAAAATACTCATAAAAAGGATAAAAACAAGTTGCACATCAGTCACAACCACCAAGACTATGTAGGGCATCACACTTAATGTAAATTTGTTCCCATAAGAGAGATGCCTTAAAAACACTAGAAGTCATAATGAGACAGATTAGTCAAACCCAGGAATCTATCCAAAGAAAACAAGAGCACCTTGAATATCCATCATCAGAATTCCGTGGTCGGGCCCATGTTGGTCTCGGTCTGGATCTCATTGAATGAGCTGCTGGAGCTTCATATATTGCAGGATGGGTTGTACCATGGAAACTTGTACTAGGATCGTTCATACATGGATAATCATCCTTTGGTAGTTCTCTTTTACTAAGTTTTCCAATAAGTTCCTGAAAATGACAAATAGTATCTCCACCATTAAGTCAAAATAGATCGACTGAAGGGTATAAAAGAAAATAAACCCCAAGATATAATGACACTATGTCTTCATAACAAAAGTCTATAGAGGGAAACCTACACCTAAATCTGTAGAATAAAATTACACATTCTTCCACACAAACAAATATTCAATCTCTCCATTCTAGCAACAAGAAACTTCAAAGAAAGAACAATAAAAGGAAAGATGATAATTATAAAGATTAGAAACAGGAAAGAAATATATGTAGGATTCATAAGGTTCGAGATTTCCTTGCTATAAGCCATTGTTGACACCCACTACCAACCCCAATGATGCCATACATTTTGAACATAATTTCATGTTAAGAAAAGGTCCTATCCAACCCTTTTAATAGTCTAGACTGTTAGTGTGAAGTAAAATTCCTTAAATTGCATAACCTAATATTAAGCATCAAACAAACTCCTCAATGTCTTCCATATAACACCAACAAGTAAAGATGGTTGAGGCATCTGCGAGTATTATGTTAATGATTGCCTCCGTATGCCCACAATCTGACCCCTAGCATCAACTTTGTGAGAGAACTCTTGCTCAAATAAAACTTGATTGAAAATTGTTTTACACAACTATCTTAAAAGTTAAGGCCATTAGATACACTAATGAGTGGAAACGATTAGTCCTCACATGTTTACCCAATTTTTCAGGGTGATATTGGCTCCTATAAGTCAGCACCATGTTCTTTGCAACACTTTTCACAACCAAAATTTATCGTTGGGTTGCTTGTTTCCATCAGCAATTTGGGCAAGATTTTGCACAAGAGCTCTTCCCATCCACTTTGACTCTAAATCTAGCAGCCCCTAACACCCATCGAAACCAACCCAGCCCCCCTCGCCTCACATGTTAGACTTAAAAAAAATATTAAATTGTATAAAATATTTGAAACTTTTACGAAAAAAATAAAATAATAAAATCCAAAAGAAGGAAACTTAGAAATCTGAAAGAAAAAACTGAAAAAATGGAAAAAGATCTAGAATAATGAAAAAAAAAAGAAAAAGAAATAACTAAATAAAATAATCAAAAATTGAAGAACTTTAAAAACTTTAAATTTTCAATTTAGTTTTGTTTTGGGGGTTTTTAGTATTTTTTAAAGTATTCTTAATTTTTCTAAATTCTTAGAAGTATTTTTGGTTCCTTTTTATTTAAGAATATTTTAAATTTTTATTAGTTATTTTACTTTTTCTTGAATTTAAAAATTAGTTGCTAATAAATTTTAGGGTAAAATAGTCAATTTCACAATATAATTTAGGTAAATTAATAATTGTGTTAGGTCAAAATTAGTCAACTTCATATTTAACAAGAAAAACTAATTCTAGTGGACCTATGTCATAGTTTTTGGAGTTTTTGGGTTCAAAGGAGTTTTTACAGTTTAAGGGGGTGTAACAGTATCAACTCTTAGTAATTATAAAACTTTATGGACATTTACTCTTTTATCCTTTATCTCGTTAAAACTAACGAAAGAATCTCGACAGTAAGGGGTTGAACGTATTCACCAGTACCTGAGGGGGTTTATGATTTTCAGTAAACCTTGAGGGGTTTAAAGGAAAAATCCCTTTACTATAGTTACTGCTATTTACTTTTGAGTTGAGTTGTCGGATTTATCAATTGACTCCCTTTAACATGATGCAGGATGAACTTGAAACATTTCATAAAAAATTTGGGATTTCACTGAGATAAACAATACATGATAAAAGGGTTAATACAAATTACACCACCTAAAACTTCGGAAATCACTCTTGACCACCACAAACTCTGAGAATTACAAAGAAAACCCCTATATTATTCTCTTCTATTTAAAGCCCTTTTTAGTAATGTAATACTAGAAACCTCTTCTGCATTTTTCTATCAAAACAATCAACAATTTTTTTTTTTTTTTTTTTTAATAAAAACTATACTTTCATAAGCTCTACTTGCATAAGTTGTACCAAATGGACCATATGTATTGAAAGTGCAATGTAGCCTCAGCTGATACTAGGAGTAAGTGCATCATGACTATATATGATTTTAAACATTAAAGCAATAACCTAACTTTAGATGTACCTCTATCATGGGGTAAAAGCGTGATAACTGCCATTTATGCTCTTCATCACTGCGGTCTTTCCTAGCAGCCCTCTTCTTCTTCTTCAGACAATTAGATAACTAGAAAGTGAGGACACAAACCAGGGCATATATCCAACAATAAGAAGCATCATTTCAACCAACATATATGGATTTACCTTATGGATATCAAACTTCAGAGCAAAGGTCCCAACTGAATTCTTTTTGCTAATTGATGATCCCCCAAGAAATCTCATATTCTGTACAGCAGTCATATCATCTGGTGGTAATTTTGCTATCTGAAAGGTATACACACATTAGCCCTCAAAGCAAGAAGGAAATATGTAGTCATCAACAAAACTGATGTGCATACCAAAAATTTCAAAAAGATCAAGGCTGCCAATACATGACAAAAGGTTTACTAATTAACATTAGTACCACACAAGAAGAGACCAAAAAAAAAAGCATAATCCATTAAAAAGGACATAAGAGATAAAAATGCCAACCTTCATTAAATTCATACCCTTGTCACCCTCCAACTTCTCAGGATACATGGATGCAAGAATCATCAATAACCGTAACTTATTTTCACAAGTCAAATCCTGCATAAAAGTATACTTTAATTTCATGAATATACTTACAAGAAATAATATATTCCTTCATACATACAAGTTCATACCTCTTTTGTAGTTAAAAACTTAATCACGTCCTTCATTCCAGCATCACCAAAAACAAGATCCTGCTCCAGCTGCCCAAGTTCTTTGAGTCCTAACTCCCTGATCATTTTGTTGACTTTTCCTGCTATCTGTACAATATGATCTATTATCCATGATCTCATGGCTCCTATCAAATTCTTCAATAAGTGGACAACTAAATCTATCCTAAATACTTTAAGAAAAATAATGATTCAAGCAAAGAGAAATTTAAGATAAATTATTTCTTTTTCACTTGTTTAAGGACATGAATTTAACATGAAAAATGAGACAAAAAGATAGAGTCAAAGCTTTGGAAAAATAAAAAAGAATAATTTATATCAGCACCATTCAAACACTTCAGCAATTTCAAACAAATAAAGCAAAGTTTATCTAACTATTTATTCCAATTCTATCAGAGAACGTAAAATATAATCGTGGAAAACTATGAAAAGATACCATACAAAGTCCAGACATAAAGGAAATTAGTCCAAAAAATTGACATGTACATTAAAGCAATAATAGCAAAAGAATCATGCTTAAAAAAAAATAATAAATCAACATTCAAAAGATTTTTCACAATATATACAACTTTTATGACAAATACAAAACCATGAAACACAATGAATGTAACTTCCATACAATGTATAAAGAAATGAGACAGAGGAAAAGGAAAGATTAAATAATACTTGAACATCAATTCAATTCATTGATCTGAATAAGTTTCCCATTAAGATAAAAGAATTGGTGTTTCATCGAATGTGGGCAGTACATACACACAAACGAGTGTTTCAAATACAATGGGTACCAGCCAACGTTTTTAATCGTAAAACCATCTTTTTTTCCATTAGAAAGTTGTGGAGAACTATATCCTTTGGCAGCAATGACAAAAACTGAACACAAGAAGGTGAAACAATGGATGTCAATATAAGAATATTGCACCATGATCTACATGGCATGCAATGCATTACGTGTTGAATTAATTCAGAGTAAAACCAATTGGCAAATTGCACGGTGATCCACATTGCATCTACCCAAAATTCAAGACAAGAATCACATGGCACACCACACTTGCTCACCTAGGTTGTAAAACTGAGACATCTCTGTGAGCATGTGTTTGGGGGTTTCTTTACTGGGGTAGGATGTCAGGGGAGGTGTGGACCAATGATATTTAAATACTTAAATTCGCAAAAACAAGAAACTAACCTCTACATGGAGGGAAAGCTTATCAATTTGCTCATTGTATTGTGGCAATGCATGAACCATCTTCTGCAAATCCCTTGTAGAAAGTTCACTACCATCTCTGCACAACAGGTATTGTTTTCAGAAACATATTGACAGTAACTAACAGGATAGATACACTTGGCCAAGTTTCAAAATCAAACCAAAAACAAACAATTACACTGCCTATACTAGATAAACATTAGAACAGTTGTCTGGCTAATTATTTCAGCTTTAAAGAGGGGAAACGCCGAAAAATAATGCATAATAAAGAAGGGATGAAGAAAAATTGTATAGAAGTTCATATGAAAGAAATCATAAATTATATTTAAACTCACAATGAAATTCAAGGTGGAAACCAAAACAAAATAGAGAATTAAAACTAGAAAACTAGTTAAATAAAAAGGTTCACAGCAATACTGTTTTTTTTCCTGATAGACAAGAAAAGTTGTATTAATAAAGAACAATTACAAAGTGCGCTAGGTCTCCGCAAAAATAAGAGCCCTTAGGGAACAAACCTACACCCTGTAACTGTGAATCAATATCTAACTAGCCTTTATAGATATGGGACAAATGCTTACAACAAGAACAGCCCCAAAAAAATGATCGTGTAACAACCCCTTCTCAAGTACGCTGAATAAAGAAAGAAGAACCTTGAAGTTCTTTATAAACAATTAGAGATGGAAGTGCATACAATACTACAACCTGACAGGCAAGATATCTTTGTGCAAGTATCTTGGTCAGCATGGGCCAAAAATCAGTACTTACAAACACCCACACATTGGAGTACTTAATCACCGTTTGAGTACTTAATAATAATGATTAAGAAATTATAAATCTACAGTTTATTGTTTTTGCCCTTCCACACTCACAAAAGTTTAAAAAAAACAAGAAAATTAAAAAAAAATATATAGTTGATGATTTCACAATCAACGCCCAACCCCCCAAACAAAGGTTTAATTAAATAAAAATCCTCTTGAGAATTCCAAAATAACTAAAAAATCCCTACTATTAGTGAACTGTTGGTGAGCCATTAGAATTTACAGTATTAGAATTTAATTAGTGTTTACCGAATTGTCCTCTTATCGTTTATTTTAACATCTAAAACTTAGCAGTAGGGGCATTTTTGTTATTCAATCAAACCTCAGGGGAATTATGTCATTAAACCTGAGAATATTACTCAAAACTTGCACCAAAAAATTGTAAGATGACGAGCCTATTTGCAGCAGACTAATCATCTCCTAGTTAAATTTTCAACCTAACTTCTATATCAAGGATGCTTTCTACTTTAAACAAATTTCCAAAAGTATAGCTATAAATCTGATTTAACCACCAGATACTCATACTGTGTTCTATCTGTTGACCAAGTAACAGTGTAACCATAGTGTTGACTGTGGAATACAAATCCTCTCTCTCATAATAATATATCTGAAGTTTCCAATGATCAACATAAAGAAATTAGTCAATTTATGAAGTCCAAAGTTTTCAAGGATCAATTTGAAGACATTAATCCATCTTCTGTAAGCCCAAGGATGAGGTAAACGAAAATTCCTAAGATATGTGTTGTTAATCTGATGATCCGATCTATAGTGAAAAATAATATTCTAAATGACAACAGAAAAAAAATCTGTATTTTTTATTTTCAAATATCTAGTCTATCAACACACCAGACAAACACTTCATTCCAGATGTTTAAAAATCTAAGGGGAGTTAAGGTTCAACTTGTTATGTAAGACGATGGTAACTGTACATTACATATTATTATTCACTGATTTTCAACATCTTGGCGTTGCCACCAGAATTCTCAAGCTGATAATTATATCAATTACATATTGTTTGGAGGTTCTAATGTTATCTGTAAGTCATTAATGAATTGAAGCAATATTCCAGAAACTGAATGAACTAATAAACAGACATTAGCTTTAAGAAATTGATAAAACTTTAAAAGATAACAGAAGGTACGCAATAGCTTCTCCAATGCTTTCATGGAAAAAATAACGAACTTTCACTGACCTTGAACCTTGTTGAATTTGAACAGCTTTGTTCTTTGATACAAAGTTGGTCATCTTCTCATGTAAACGCTCACTAGCCTGACAATCAAAGAACACGGTAGAATTTGTGTATAAATAAAATAAAATAAAGGGCAAAAGTGAAAACAAAGTAACAACAGGAAACATACATCTGCTATATGTGCATGACGAAGTTCAAGCCAAACAGGATCATGCTCCTCCAAAAGAAATTCTTTTTTCTCTGGTAGACCACCTGTTTTGCTTGGAAACTGATATAATGTGAGTCCTTGTTCTAAGATATCCATAGGAAATCATCAAGTAGATGATTCAAGACAAGATAGAACTTCAAAAATTAGAACTTACCTCTTGCACAAATTTATTACCTTCCATATTCAGTAAATCATGGCAAATGGCATCATATGTCCACTCATGTATGATAGGAGCAATCTAGAAAAGCAAAAGAAACATATTATAAGTAATATAGACAAGCTATGCAGCAAGAACTTTAGAAAGTTCATATTCCAGCACTAAAAGACCTGATCAACAGAACGATCTAGGATAAGCAACTCGCATGTTTCTGTCTGAGGGAAATTCTCAATAGTCTGTCTATATTTCAGGAGACAGTTCCACACTCCGGCTGCAAGCTTTGTAGGAACTAGATCATTGAAAGTTGTAACTGTCATTGTATCAAGTGTCTTGGCAGCCCGGTAGCGGACAGAAGGAAACTCCTGGAATGTAGAAAACATACAAGACTCAGAAAAATTAAAATACTAAAGAATCTACATGAAATATTGATTATAAATACCCTTAATGAAGCGAAAACCGTAGCAATGCGTGTAGCCATCACATTTAAACATGCATCACCTTTGCGAGGATTTTCCTCATCACCAAAAAGTTCCTCTAAGGCCCTTTCGTTATCAGTGACAAAGCCCTGTACTCAGGAAAATTACAGTTGACTATAACACGACAATAACATTACACTGTCTACAATGCAAGAAATGACTAACCAAATGAAAGATAGCATGAATCAATATTTTGTACTTTCAAAAACAAACAAGATACATAAATCTTTTCCTAATGAGCCATTTGAGAATTTAAGTCTATGAAAATGTTCCATCAAAAATTTATTGTTCCGTTAGTGGGACGCAAGAAAACTGTAGAATACATATACTTATCCAATATCCCAAAAAAAAAAAAAAAAAATCAATTTCCCTCAAAAAATTGATTTTCAAAATTCTTCTACTTTAGGCTGCTTGTATGCAGTTTGTAACATTTGATGGTTCCAAATATTATAAGCACCAATTGGAAATTGGCATGTGAAGAATTTTGGAACTTGAGTTGAATGAATACAAGATTTTATTGTTGCCCCAAAGAGAAGAAATCTGTCCATAGCATAAACAGGCAATAACACAGGAAAGAGAAACTGATCAATTAGATGTAATCTCATGCACGCACTGAAAAAAGAAGAAAAAGACCAAATAGAAGTAATATCACACAATAACAGCATCCTTACAAAAAATAAAAAATAAAAAAATCATTGCCACATTTTGAGCCCTTGCATTCCATAATACCAACAATAAATAAATAAATAAAGAACCAACAATCCTGATCCAGATGAACATCACAACATGAGCTACAAGGATATATTTGGCATCATAATGAAACTATGAGTTATGGCCTTAACATGTAGACTTTTGCTAACAGTACAGTCACTGGAAGAAGGAAAATTTACAATCACATGACATAAAACCTGGCTGTCAAGAATAATCTGACTAATTCTATTTAGCGTATGGAAAATAAATGGTCATGGAAGTTGCAGTACACTCAAAAAAAAAGATAGCAATCTGGTGACAAAAATCATCATTTGTGTGCATCTAGGTTATACATAAATTCAACTACAAAACATAGCATCACATACCTGGCTGTCTATGGCAAAGTATTCCAAATTCATCTGCATATTTCTCAACCAAATGAAAAAAGAAAATATCAGTATGCAAAAATAAGTTAGAAACCAATATGAAAGAAGAGAAGGAAAGGAACTAATGGACAAATTTATGTTGCTTATGCACCACAATCAATCTGAAGAAAGTATAAGTTTTAAAAAGCAAAAGACCCAACCTCTCTCAGAGCACCTATGCGAGTTAAAACTTTTGTATCCTTCCTGATGTGAGTAACCAATTCTCTTGAAATAGGCGAACTAAAGAAAACAAACGCCCTTCCAACAAAGAATAAAACTTATTCAATAAAAAAGAACGCTCGAACTTCTAAAACAAAAACACAAAAACAATTTAGGATAGTACATAAATTCTTTCACATACTTTTTATATAAAGGCAATTTTCCAGACATGTCCGACAGGAACAATAGAACACTGCCAAAAAAAAGAAAGAAATAAGCTGGTGTACAGAGAAAGAAAGAAAGAGAGAGCTATCATCCATGTGCCTATTCTATAGAAACACATATCTATCATTTCAATTATTTCTTCAAAAAGAATGCAACTGTGACAAAACAACGTGGATACAGCTGATTTTAATTCGTTTGGTTAACTAGCTGTAAAATGGTTAAATGCAGACAAAACTAGTAAATAAGATTCAGAAAATGAAATAGAAGAAATGAAAGAATATAAGTCAATGCATGGAAGAAGTAATTATATGGATAACTTAATTCCTAACAGCACAAATAAGACATCAAAAGGGCTAAACTCACTGGTCATTATACCAATGCAAAATATGAATGGTTCAAAAAAAAAAAAACCCTAACTAAATATAGCTAGTTAGGGTTTCACATTATAGTGAGAAATGAGTAGAAGACGATTTAAAAAGGGTAAGAAAAAAAAAAAAAAAAAAAGAGAGAGAGAGAGAGAGAGAGGGATATTCAAAGAAGATAAAAAAAGCAAAACCCAATAATTACTTCTCTTTGGTTGGCTGGATAAAGTATATAGCATCCATAGAGGGCAATGGCTGTCTCCGTCTGTTTATATCTTCTACCACTGCACGAAACAAAGAAAAAAATCGAACTTTTTTCTTGTTTCCCATGAAAAAAATAAATTTAAATAGATAAATAAACCTCCACCATTATCCCAACACCTAAGCATAAAATTTAAGTGAACAAAAATGGAATGCAACAATCTCCCATCTGTTTGGAAACTTTATAATTGCATAATAAAAAATAGAAATGATTAATAATTGATTCCTACATGAAACTCCTTCTTGTGTGATGTCAGCCATCTTGCATGAGTAAGACATAACCTTAACTGTAAGTTTGTCCATTATCAGTACCTGCAGATAATGTAAGTAACCTAAATTACTTGTAAAACCCTCTAATCCTTTTAACATAACAAAAATCAAATCAAACACAAGTTAAATTAAAGAAACACGATCACCTTCCAGGTTGATTTTGAGCTCCCTGTTTTCGCGGACCCAAGCATTTCATGCAATAATCCTAAACTCCAATTTAAATTAAAATAATAAAAAATACGAAAATGAGTTCAATAACAGAAATGCTCGATTTTACAATACATTATGAATGAATAAAGAGAAAAAGAGAGAGAGAAAGAACTTACTGTCACGGGTGATTTGCCTGAAATTTTTGTACTCGGGACCACTGTATGATGAGGAATCAGAATCCGAATTCGACATAACTGAGATTGTAAGAATTGATGTTGAAGGTGAAGAGATGGTTTTATGAACGTCGAGAAGGAGAAGAGAATTTACAAATGAGAGAAACGGAAACAGAGTAGCGAAAAGTCAATTTTACAATACGGAATTTTCTTTCGTTTAGGAGAAGGATTTTACAGGAAAATTTCAGTCATTCTAGAACTTCAACTTCACATTAAGGAAAGAATCTAGATATGCGTTTTAACTCATTTTTGTTTTCAATTTTTAAATCCTATTAGTTTCGGGTTCGGTTCACATTTGGGATTATAACAATTACATCCCCAACCCCAATATCCGACAGACAGAAAAAGACTAGACTACCCTTCATATTGTTATTAATCATTTAACTAAATTTTATTTAAAAATATAAATTTATCTATTTAATATATTAATAGAAGGGAAAAAAATTAGGGTATTTATAATTCAATAATGTTAGGTTCACAACCGTCTCTCACAATTTTTAACATGACAATTCGCCATTAGTTAGTTCGTATATATGTAGGCATGATTAATACAAATAAATAGTATTTATTTTACAAACTGACTAGATTTTTTGTCATTTTAAAAATTGTGAGAGAAATTTTTAAAATTAGGTTATAAACTTAGTTCTATTCTTTATAGTTTCATGAAATTTTATTATCTTTGATTTTATATTTGATGCGAGTTGTCTGTGAAATATTTGGGATATTTGTTACTTTCCAATGCCCTCAGAGGTCATTAAAAATCCCTTTTACGTGAAACCTGAATTTGCAGGGTTGTTTTCACATGTAATCTTTAAATTTAATTTAACAATTCTTCTACGGACTTTGCGTATCGTAATTCGTAACCAGTCTGCCATGTGGCAACCAGGGAACAGCCTATTCTTGCAAGTTGCAATCCATACCATTGTCCCAAAAATGGGATAAAACAATAATATGATTTATTTAGATTGATTTTTTAAAATAAAATTATGATTTTAAATAAAACCAATTATAAACTCTAATGTTAAAAAGTTTCAAGTTATACTAATTCCAATTTTGATGTTTAAAGTTTCAAATATAGTATAGTAAATTTCATCGTATATTGTTTTAAATCATAGATTTTTTTTTTTAATGACTAGGGTGTCTAGGACAGCTTACACACACCTCAACTAATCCTTGGAGTCCATTGAACACCTTAGGTTGCGTTTGTTTTCGTATCCTATTTCTATCGTACCCAAAATACATAGTTGTTTCCCTATTCTTAAAATCAAATCATATTCTATTCAACTATTTTTAAACTCCCTAGGTTTGTTAATTTAGTTAAATACCTCCTACAATAAAACATCAAAAATTAACAAAAAAACCCTCCAGCCACCCTCCGGTGATGGCGACCGGCTGCCGACATTTAATGGGTGGGTGGAGGTGTTTTTGTTAATTTTCAATGTTTTATTTTAAGGGGTGTTTAAGAAAATTAACAAACCTATTGGGTGTTTTGTTAGTTTTCAAATCGTATCCTCGTAATAACAACTCAACTCAACTTTTTCAAAAATAATATTCAAAATAATAAAACAAACACAGCCTTACATTGCCAATGTTCCAAGGTATGTCACAAATATAGTAGATGACCCCAAGGTGGCTTGAACCCAAGAAGTCAATATAGAGAACAAACTTTCTTGACCGCCAATTCAACCCCTTGGGGTTTTGGGTAAGTTTTAAGTTTGAGTTGTAGGTTTTATATCTATTATTTTAAGTATCAAATCCAATGTTATAAGTACTAAATCCTCTCTAGCTTTAATATTTAAGTTATTTATGTATGTTGTTTTAGATTTCAACTAATATCTATAGATACTAAATTGAAATTTAAAGTCTAAAGTGTGATGTTATAAGTCATGTTGATGTCAAACTCCCACATCGGCTAGGAGATAAGGGTCTTGGTCACTTATATAGCACAAGGACACCCTCACCACCCAAAGGCGTCTTTTCAAGACAAACTGTGCGAGCCTGCCAGCAGTCAAACCTGTGGCCCAAAGCAAACAATACCTATAGGAACCCACCTACCATGTGACTAGAGACGGCATAGCAACAATTGGCGCTAAAAAGGAAGGCTCGTGTTTACCTGGGCTAAGCATGCCAATTTATATCCACGCCAAACCTTACAAGCCCCTCGTCTAGGGGGTTGTGTTGATATCAAACTCCCACATTGGCTAGGAGACGAAAGTATTGGTCGCTTATATATCACAAGAACACCATCACCACCCAGATGTGCCTTTTCAGGATAAAATTGTGTGGGTCTGCTAGCAGTCCAACCTGTGGCCCAAAGCAGATAATATCTCTAGGAACCCACCTACCATGTGGCTAGAGACGACATAACAACAAGTTTCAAATGAACAATAATGCTACGGACACCAATTTTTTTACACCAAAATCTTGTACCGACCTACGTGTTCCATAATTCACACCAGCAAATCAGACACGTTTCACGTTATTAATTTTTTTTCTAGTGAATGGTCGTTCATCAGCGATGAACAGCAGTTCACTTACGATGGACTCCCGTCCATATTATATGGACGGGGGTCCATTTACTACGGACGGGCGTCCCCATTTAAAGGACGCCCATCCACCAGTAAAATAGAATAAAATTTTTTTATAAAAATTAGGGACGATCGTTCATTAGTTATGGATGGCCGTCCCTTAATTTTGGACACCCATCCATAAATTGTGGATGGGCGTCCCTTGATTTTGGACGTCTATCCATAAATTGTGGACGAGCGTCCCTTAATTTTGGACGCCCGTTCATAAACTGTGGACGGGCGTCCCTTAAGTTTGGAGGAATGGATGCCCGTCCTTTTCATTCTTACTCACTCTCACTCCCGTCTTCCAAATATCTTCAATCAGTTTAGCACATTCTCCCATCTCACTCTTACTCATGGCTAGTATTCGATAGACTCCAAAATTCTTCTCCTGCCTGGGTCAATATGAGTGAGACACAAGCTACCAGGTATGATGGATGGACAGATCAGAACACCTTTGGTGAGAACAGGGTCAAGGGAATCAGGAAGAGGGACTTCTACTTCTTTGAATGCAGTTAGGGAATTCTTTCTTAGCCATCTTGTCTTCCCTTCTTTATTTTTATTTAGCAACCCACGTGCAATCTCCTCCATTCTTGTGGGTCATAAGAGAAAATCAAAATGAAGAGGAAGATGGAAAAGACCCATCAGATATCTTCAACTATGGCGAAACAACCAATAGCCTACCCTCCATTCAATTCTCCGTTTGCTGCCACTTCTCCTGCGATAGAACTAACGCTTTTCGATAAAGCTTGGACTTGGCCAACTAAGACAAGAGAAGCAACAACACATGTCCCTAAAGACTTCTCTGAGGCTGATATAAGCAAAAGAGAGGTAGCTTCCAGGATTAGGAAGATGAAACTTTACAACCCCAGAGAAGAGGAAGAAGAAAGGAGAAAGGGTGTCTCTACGAGACTTGGGCTCCATCTGTATTATCCATGGAACATCAAGAAGAAGCTTACACTTAGTTTGTTTACATGGCACATTCATATATTCTTTTGTCATTAATACTTTCTTGAAGAAGTTAGTTGAGCACTTATTAAAGATAGATATTCTAGTTATAAATTTTCTTGAATTTATTATACATGTTAAACAGGATTCATGCATAGAGTTGTTGCCAAAAGTCCAGCAGCAACTAGTGAAAAGTGGAAAATTGTCTGTGATTGTTGTTACTTGTGGTGAAGAAACTGAAATGCCAGCTCAATCTGATCTTTCTGAGTTGCAAGAACCAAAATCGACCAGTTTGTTGGCCCCTACATCTGATTCTTCTCTTTTGGGGATGAAGCATTTTACTCCAGCTAAATCATCAGCCATAGTTGAAGATATCCGATGGGTCTTTTCCATCTTCCTCTTCATTTTGATTTTCTCTTATGAACCATAAGAATGGAGGAGATTGCACGTGGGTTGCTAAATAAAAATAAAGAAGGGAAGACAGGATGGCTAAGAAAGAATTCCATAACTGCATTCAAAGAAGTAAAAGTCCCTCTGCCTGATTCCCTTGACCCCGTTCTCACCAAAGGTGTTCTGATCTGTCCATCCATCATATCTGGTAGCTTGTGTCTCACTCATATTGACCCAGGCAGGAGAAGAATTTTGGAGTCTATCGGATACTAGCCATGAGTAAGAGTGAGATGAGAGAATGTGCTAAACTGATTGAAGATATTTGGAAGACGGGAGTGAGCGTGAGTAAGAACGAAAAGGATGGGCGTCCATTTGTCCAAACTTAAAGGATGTCCGTCCACAATTTATGGACGGGCATCCAAAATTAAGGGACGCTCGTCCACAATTTATGGACGGGCATCCAAAATCAAGGGACACCCATCCACAATTTATGGACGGGCGTCCAAAATCAAGGGACGGCCGTCCATAACTGATGAATGAACGTCCCTAATTTTTATAAAAAAATTATTCTATTTTACTGATGGACGGGCGTCCTTTAAATGGGGATGCCCGTCCGTAGTGAATGGACCCCCATCCATATAATATGGACGGGAGTCCATCATAAGTGAACGGCCATGAACGGCCGTTCACTAGAAAAAAAATTAATAACATAAAACGTGTTTGATTTGCTGGTGTGAATTACGGAACACGTAGGCCGGTACAAGATTTCGGTGTAAAAAAATCGGTGTCCGTAGCATTATTGTTCAAATGAAATACGTTTTAATGTTTTACATTAATAATTTCACATATATTATTTATAGTTTTAAAATCACAATAAAAGTTTCAAGCACAATATTATTAGTTTTGTTTTTTTTTTTTTCATGACCGAGGGTATCCAAGCCAACTTACACGCACCTCAATTAATCCCCTGGGACCTTGGAACTCAAGACCTCTTAAGTAATATACCCAAGAGTCCCTATCAAACCACTCGATCACCCAGAAATAGTTAATATTATGAGCAATGCTATACTTATAACCGAGTCATACAAAGAGACAAAAAACAAAGGACAAAGTAGTCATTTTACATAAATTTTGGGCAATTTTTATCTATTTGTATAACTCAGTTGTAAGCAAAATATTATTGTAATATTATTAGTTTCAAACATAACATTTTTAATATCAAATCCCTCTAATTTAATATTCAATGTTAATATTGACAAGTTTTGTGTTATAGGTCTCATGTATACCTCTAGGTTGAAGTTCTACTTATAGGGTTTTGAATCAATGTTAAAAGTATCTAGTGTTC